CCACTCTTTCATCCAATTGTTCTTATCCTTTCATTGTTTCTGTCCTCTCCTACTTTTATTATCTCTTTCTTGTTTTCCCTTTCATCCATCCTTCCTCCTCTTCTAGTTTCTCTTCCTTCTCCTCCTGTTTAGTGTCTTTTTTCCTCCACCACCGCTTGTCCTCCATCTTCTTCTCCACCCCTTTTTATTTACATTTCCTGATTTGAATCGTGTGTTGTGTGTGTTTGTGCGTGCATGCGTGGGCGATTTTATTTTCTCGTTACCTTGGCAACGTCCCACGTGCTTGATGTCGATCTTCAGCTGTTTGAGGCAGGACGCCTCTCGGACGTGGCAGGGCGTGTCGTAGGTGATGCCGTCGCTGCCGCACACAGGGTTGTCGTTGTGGCCGTTACACACGATGTTACACATGCAGCTGGAAACACACACACAGTCTTATTTGTGTAGCAGTGATGTTTGCAATCAGAAATTCTGGGGGAATCCTGTATTGTGTAGACTTTTATTTTGAAGGGTATGTGTACTAACAGCATGTCCTCAGAGTCTTCGTCACATTCGGCTAAACTTGCAGTTTCCACATTTTGAGGCCTTTTTGCCGCGACCAGAGCCCTCGTCATCTGCACAGACACAAAACATCACTACAACGCGGTCTCTGCATATTTATTATTCTTATTGTTATTATCATCATCAGTAGGGGAAATATGATCTTGTAGTTTCAAAACATTCCAATAAAATATGAAGCTGTTTACCTCCATCTCCTGATCCTGAACCAGTGTCTGAGAGAGAGACAAACAGACGTTATGATGTTATCAGCCTAACGCCCGTCTGTCCAACGCCCGTCTGTCCAACGCCCGTCAGCCTAACGCCCGTCCGTCTAACGCCCGTCAGTCTAACGCCCGTCAGTCTAACATCTGTCCGTCCGTCTAACGCCCGTCAGTCTAACATCTGTCCGTCCAACGCCCGTCAGTCTAACATCTGTCAGTCTAACGCTCGCCAGTCTAACATCTGTCCGTCCAACGCCCGTCAGTCTAACATCTGTCAGTCTAACGCTCGTCAGTCCAACGCTCGTCAGTCTAACATCTGTCAGTCCAACGCTCGTCAGTCTAACATCTGTCCGTCTAACGCCCGTCAGTCTAACATCTGTCCATCCGTCTAACGCCCGTCAGTCTAACATCTGTCCATCCGTCTAACGCCCGTCAGTCTAATATCTGTCAGTCTAACGCTCGTCAGTCTAACATCTGTCCGTCTAACGCTCGTCAGTCCAACGCTCGTCAGTCCAACGCTCGTCAGTCCAACGCCCGTCAGTCCAACGCCCGTCAGTCCAACGCCCGTCAGTCCAACGCCCGTCAGTCCAACCATGAAGGAGATTCATTACTGCTGCATTAGATTCAGGTAGGTGTTCCTAATAAACTGGACACTGGCCGAATTTAAATATACTCAACAACTGGAATCAGCAAGTAAAATCCCCCATTGTTCATGTGCGTTACCGTGGTAACAGGCTCCATTTGCCAGGATGGTGATGGCTCTCTGCTTCTTGCAGGCGGCTCTCCTCAGGAAGCACTCGTTCTGGTACGTGTCTCCGTTGGAGCCGCACACAGGGATGTACTTCTTATTACACTGAGACACACAAACACAGGAGACTTTATGAAGCTGTTACCTGCAGATATTATCAACTCAGACAGTCTCACTTTCTGGCTGACAAGTGAAATACAAAATAATTTCTCACAAATGATCCAGTTAATTCAATAAGTTTGAAGTCAGTGAAGGTAGACGTGTAAACGAGGTGCCTTCAAACAGAACCCGTTGGTTCCTGGTTGTTTCGTGTGAAAGCTGTGGATCTGGCACGGATCAAAAGCATCGTCTCATGTGTAACATGACATAACAACACAGTCAAATTTAGTCAACACTCATAGCAAATCAGGTGTGTTGTCAAAACGTACAGACTGTCTCCAGGAACATTCAGTGCCTTTGCAATCTTTTTTGTATCCTGTTACTTGTTTGTGAAGCTTCTCTTAACATTTTGGAGCATTTCTTGACTTCCTGGCCGATTCCTACCTCCTAGAAAAAACTATCCTGGAATGAAACTTAAAATTGGAGTTCCTACTCGTGAACCCCTAGAAAAGATATGTACCCCGCCTTCACGAGTAGCAGCTGAATGACGTCGCACAACAATGGCAGCTCCCATTGAAGCACACACATAACATAGACTAAACGGTAACATAAAGTATGTTTCCATTTATTTGAACTAAAATGATTCATGTTTCATACAGCAAAACTTGACTTAGGACTGTATAACAGATATCAGCTTTACCAGAATCCAGCTTCTGGTCATGAACTGTACAGAAAGTGAAAGGAAGCGACCCTGTAGCGTTCTGTATAAGCGATGTATATATTTATGTAACCATGGGAACATATACTATATTTAATCTGACTTTTTTCTGACACATCAGCAAGTCAATCAGTTAAAAGCGTTTCAAACAGATGTGTGTTCCTCAGTGAGCGACCACACAGTGACTAGCGTCCCCTTTGGTGCTGTGACCCTCCTGGACACACGAGGTCGTGACGAGCGATGCTCAGATTCAGGTGAGCTCTGTGACTCCAGAGAGGATGAATAAACACATCAGGTGTAGCGCTGATGAAGCAAGTTTACATCACCAAAACTGTCCAATCAATGAGTGAGCTGTCCGTCTGTATGACCTCATGTTTACGTCCCTTGGTTTGTTTGTAATAAAGTCAGCATGAACAGGAAAGAGTGACTCAAAGGACAGATGAATCACCAGGATGTTGTTGTGTGTGTGTGCGTGACTCACGTGGAACTGGCAGACACACTTGATGTCGGCGCCGTTCTCACGGCAGACTCCTCCGAAGCGACACGTTCCGGCGTCACAAACACGCAGGTCGCTCTTCTTCACCGACACATCTGAAAAACAATCAGATCATCAGTCATCAGCACGGCGCAGGTCTGTGGTTCTTCAACCAGACAAAAAGGAAAATCTAACAGATAACACGTAATGAAACTGGTCATGAAGCCTTCGGTCTACAGAAGCTGAAACAAGCAGCGGTTTGAATCTAAAACTCCTCCTCTGAGTCAAAAGTCAATCGGGAAATCATGAACTCTATGTCCATCACTAATAAACGTCTATAAATGCAATTAGAAATCACAGAAAACACACGGCTATAACAGCAGAACCTGCCTGAGAAACAGGATGTTTTTAAGTTTTCTTCAGTATCACAGTAATCCAGTGAGAGCTGTCTGTACACCCATGCTAACTGCTAACAGGAGCTGCTAACAAAATCGCCCACATGGAGGTACGAAAATCTGCAAAAGAACATAAAAACCTCCTCTGCTCAGATCCTGCCTGGTCCTTGGGCTGGGTGATACGGGCACAAATGTTATCGCGATAAAACCATTTCATATCAGTCTGTATGGATAATTATCAGGATAAATGTCAAATCATTTCTTTCTGGTCAGAACAAACACTGGACCACTTCACAAATCTGATGCAGAACTATTACAATCAAATATTTTAAAATATAAATGATCAGCAAATCTTTTTTTCAGTCCCTTTTCCTCAACAAAGCACTGATTCGTTCTTGATTCAAATTAAAAATAAAACATTTATTGACGATATATTGAACATATTTGTTAAATTGTTTTTTGAGGAAAATTATATGCTATTGAGATAATTATCATTATTGTTTTATTGAGCTTTTTAAACTAAACGTCGTTCACACACTGATGGCCGCCATGCGAGGTGCATACTGCGCACCGGAAACAGAAACTGAGCGTTCACACAAACACTCGCACACCGAAGGAACCGCCACCCGGAGCAGTTTGGAGATCAGTGTCTAGCCGAAGAAGACTTTGTCCGACCCGCTCTAACTCCTGAGCCAACGCCGCCCAAATTCAGGCCTGAAAGGTCGCTGACTCCATGGTAACATTATACTTCCTGCAGGATTAATAACAGTTGTTGACGAAAACATGAAGTTTAAATGGCTGCTCTACAATTAAAATGTGATAAACGACTGAAGTGTTTCATCCTCTGGGAAATCTGACTTCACGAACATCCAACAGTCCACATGAAACACTGTGGGAAACACAACCAGGTGCATCGACACACACAAACACACACACACACACCAACTATTACCCAGGGTAGTAATTTCCGGATGTCAGCTGATTGGCCGGCGGCCCCGCATGCTAACCAATTACAGCTGATAATTACAGGGGTCGTGACCCTCGCCTCCCCTGTAATTAGCAAATACCTCAGTGTGCTGAGCGAGCCAGAATAACACAGAGCCTTCTGCAGGGGTGGACAAAATAAAAGAAACACTGTGTTCCCAGGATCCCTCTCTGTCGGCAGGACGGACGTCTGCTGCTGTGTTTTACTGCCGGACTCTTCCCGCCAGCGCTCAAGACTTTAAATCGATTCGAACCATCAGAGTCATAATTTAGTCATGTTTATGTTTCTGTAAGAGTTACCGCTAGCTGAGACACTCTCACACCAGAGTGACGAGTTGATTGATCTTAAATTAAGACTAAACTTGGTCACTGATTTATTGTTGATCTGGTAGAAAGTCTAACACTCCACATTAGCAGCTCTGAGACTCAACACAGACCGACCAGCCGACAGTCCGAAGTCTCACCTATTCTCTGCTTTTAGCTTTGTGACAATCTACAGATGCACACGCAGGATGCTTTTTAAAGTTAATAGTCTGATGAGTTCCCCACAGAGACCGCTTAGTGGAGGCGGACGCGCTCAAACATCAGCACCTGACTGTGACTCATCGGCTCGGTGATGTTGCAACGTGCCGCTCTGATGGATTCCTGACAGGTAACATAATGATGTGATCGATCAATCAATCACCTGCTGAGCTGAATCAGACAGATCCTGATCCATCTAGTTTTACATGGAGTTACAAGATGACGCTCGAAACTATTCCATATGTGACCTTTACTGCTGATGTTATGTCTGCAGAGGTTAGCAGAGCTCTGCTTTTTAAGGCAAGCAGAGATGCCTCCAACACAACACACACTGAGAAACTAAATGAATCAATAAAACGCTTGTTATTTGCAGATCTGCATGATTTAAGAGGCAGCTGCTGACAGCCTGGTGGTCAACTAACAAGAAACGACCATGGACGTCACAAAAACGATCACACGAAGCGTCTTGCTTTTTAAAAAGTAGCTCGTCTTGAAATTTCAGATGTCACAATCCTCTGAAACACATGCAGAGTTCAACCTTTGCTCTTAACTACGTCACCAACCAACAGTTAACAATGCCTGCCTGAAGGTAAAGAAATGAATCTAAAACCGATGGAGGATCTGAGACAGGATCAGCGGGAGTTTGAGGTTTCCAGGGTTAAAAAGCTGTGGTGTAAAAGCTCCTTCATCAGGTGATCAAACCGTCCTCAGAGACGCCATCAGATTCAAACTGGGTCAGTGATGATAAATCCTGTCAGGTCTCCTTCTGTCAGCAGGTCTTCATCTTTCTGAACATCTCCCCGAAGATATCACAGCGCCAAACCTCCACCTGACAGACAGGCCGCGGCTTTTCAATAACGGCCTGTTGCTATAGTTACTAACTTCTCATCTGACAGCCATTGGTGGCGTCACCGACCAATTACAGTTTGTTTACAGAGTCAGACCGGTCTGCAGAGACCCCGTCACGGA